AAGAGAAATCTCTAGGGACCGAAAAGGGAGGTGGAACTGAAACCGGGTGATAAGCCTGTGAGCTGCTGCTGCCATGCTCTGCTCGTGGGATTCGCTGGACCCATAGCCCAAAGCCTTGAGTTTCAATGCCGACATGGACCCAGAAGAGCAGGGTTTAACCTCATTCAAGGGAGGAAGTTAGAACTGGAAGCTGGGGCCCTCATGAAGCTGGGAAAGGTCAGACTAAAAAAAGTACCTACTAGCACAGGGAAATGACCTTGAAGCTTGCTTTTCTCTTTTTGGGCTCAGAAAAGTCTGCCCTGGTAATTCATAATTACAGGCCTGTCTTCAAACAGGTTTGGGGTTTGAATTTATACTAACAACATAGCCAAGAGATTAACATAAAAAATGGTTCCAGGTGAACCACTTTAGAGTTCCTGAGAGAAACAAAGGCAGAACTGGAGGAACGACCTCAACCTGGTGTGCTCGAGGTTCACACAGATGAGACTCGGCCAAAGATGAGCTCATAACCAAAATACAGAATATTTTGGGGGAAAACAAACCCTGTCCATTGGTAGGTAAGGGACAATGGACAGAGCAAACAGAAAAATTAAACCCTCCAAAAGAGAACTGATGGAACTATCAGACAGAGGACTGATAGGGTCAGATGGAAACTAAAATAAGTATGTTTAGTGATTAAGCACAAAATAAAGAATTGAAAATAAGAACAAGACCTATGGAAAAAATGAGAACGATTTGAGACAAGCTGAGTAGCGCTTTCAGGCATGAGAAATCTGGTCACTGATGGTAGAGTCCTAATGAAGAGATTGAACAACAGATTGTATACAGCTGAAGAGAGGATCAGCAACCTGGGAGATTTTAAGGAAATCATTCAGGATGCAGCCCAGAGGGAGGGCAAGTGACAAGGCACAGTTGTCGAAATCGACGAAAATACAGTTTCCATCTGGCTCTAGAAGTCCCGGGTAGGATAAATAAAAGTAAATCAGGAAATCATTCAGGATGCAGCCCAGAGGGAGGGCAAGTGACAAGGCACAGTTGTCGAAATCAACGAAAATACAGTTTCCATCTGGCTCTAGAAGTCCCGGGTAGGATAAATAAAAGTAAATCCACCCACAGTCATGAAACTGCAGAACACCAAAGACAGTGGGCAGACCTTAGAATAACCAGAGAGGAAATGCACACTGCCCAGAGGAATGACCACTAGGTTGGCATTACACATATTCAGCACGAACCATGTATGTATCAGGATCTCCTCTGCATGTCTTATGTATGTTTTATCCTCTTAACAATCATACACATAATCACACACTTGTGTGCACATTTGTTATACACACACACTCTAGAGTAAACCTAGAGAAAACAGAAGAAAATAATAAAAACAATAGCAGAATTTATTTAAACAGAAATCAAAGCTGCAGAAGAGCACAAAAGCTGCACCCAAAGCTTTTTCTTTAAAAGTCTTAATAAAATAGAAAACCCTGGGCAAGACTGATTAACTAAAAAAGTGATGAAAGTAATAGGAATAAAAAAGGAGACACAACCAAAGAGCAGAGAGCAAAAATGATATAACAGTGGTATGACTGACTGTGTGCCCATGTATGTGAAAACTTGGATAAAATATATAATTTCTTAGAACAACATAACTCTCTCAAGAAGATAAAGAAAACATAAACAAAATAGAAACACAATGTGTTTGCATGATGTAGACTGTAAATAACTAGATAGATCCTGTGCATATCAGGTTGTAAAGAAAAGCGCATCTCTGAATCTGGGTCAAGTTTAAGAAGTTTGAATCTCTTACCTGAGTGACATTTGCAAGCAACAGTGCTTGTTCAGCAGGAAATTAGAAACAATCAAAGTCTATTATTAAGAAATAGTTACATTGTATATGTGTATCCATTTGATACAACAATTAGAATTAACTAAATCAACACACACTTGACACAGCTGAATCGCCAGTACAGCATGTGAAGAAAGCAGGCTGCAGAATGCACACGGCCGACGCTGCTCACACGGAACCCACAGAGCGTGCATGCAGGGCTGCACGTTACTGTCTGTGCACACCCACCGAGTCAGGAGGGTGGTGACCCTGCTGGCGAGGGGAGCATAGCTCTTCTTCTCTGATGTCTTGCTTTCTAGAATAATCTGAATCAAGTGTAGCAAATGACAGGTGTTGACACAGCCCATCTACTCGGGTATTTTACTATTACTTGTTATGTTTTTCTATAGTATATAAATATATAATAATATAACATTTTCAATTGTTTTTTATGTCCCTGTTTTTAAATTTACATTGGGGACATCATACTGTCTGTAGCAATCTCCTATTTTTTTTTTTCTTTTTTTAGCCACCATTATTCGTGAGGTCTGTTCTCACATAAATAGATTTGATTCATGCCTTTTGAATGCGGTGTGTCATCCCGCCGTGGGATGATCCCCTGTTAGTTATTTGTTTAGGTTGTTTCCCACCCCTAACAAGAAGTGTGCCGGGTATGAGGTCACGGTGGCTCCTGGCCACTCAAGGGCAGCTGGCGTCTGTCAGCGGGTTATGGGGCTGCAAGACACGGTGTTTGTTAAGCACCCCACACACCATTTTTATATAACACAAACACAACTGTAGAAAATTGACTGCGGAAAATAAAATAGAAAAAAATGAAGACATGACATGCCACTCTCCCAGGTAATTTACATGTGAATCTTTCCAAACTTGGTTCTATACACACAAATACAGTCATACATATTTTTAAACTTAAATGGAATTGTATGGTACTTTAACCTCTTCTGTCAAAACATGTAAACTGTCATGAGTGCACTTCCTTGTCAACACATAGCCCTGTCACCACATGCAATAGCTGCAGAGAATCTCATTGTGTTAGGCGGTGCTCTCAAAGACAGAGCACCGACCGTATCCACTGTGGAAAGTTCCTGCCCGGCATCACCTGCGGGAGTCACTATAGCCGGGCTCCACCCCAGTCTTCACCCAGCTCCTCCCAACCCCATCAGTAGCCTCCTTGGACAGGCCAGGAACCTGAGCTCCTCCCAACCCCATCAGTAGCCTCCTTGGCCAGACCAGGAACCTGAGGAATGAGAGGTCACAGAACTCTCTGTGGCCAATGCAGCAGGTAATGAGGCACCCCCAGGTTTGTGCCCAAGCCATGGGACCCACGCAGGTCATGGCCGCAGCCCTCCGCTTGTGAGAAGTAGGGGGGTGTGAAGCAGGGTGTGACACGGGTGTGACGCAGGGTGTGACGCGGGTCCACACAGGGCGGTCACGCACCAGGCACAGTCTTTGTGTTTATAGCTTTGCTCACATGACTGATGACCTTCCTGGGTCAAAAGGTGTACATGTTCTCAAGTTCTTGATACAAGCTGCCAAAGACTCCAGAGCAGTAATGCCACGTCATCTCCTACCTGCACTTACGAGATTTGCCCGCTTCATGTGGCACCTTTTTTAGGTGGAGTCACTTTTTGTTGCCAGTGACTTTCTCCTGCATTAAGAGAACGGCATGTACAGACCACTCTGTCCTCTCTCCTCCTCTCAGGATGCGCTACAGGAGACCTACAACCAGACAGGCACATTTCCGGGGCAGCAGTTCAAGCCCGCCAGGAGGCCGTGGACCCTCCTGAACTTCCTCTGCTGGGCCACCGTCTTGCTCTCTCCTCTCTTCAGCTTTGCCTTGGGCGTCTTTGCAAGCGGATCCCCCCTCCTGATCCTGACGTTCCTGGGGTTTGTGGGAGCAGGTAGTGGACACGATCATAGCAGATCTCAGTGTGGGGGTTTCACTGTGTGCCATCCATGGTGCCCAGGATTGACAACTTGTGGTGGTGGCCCTGCGAGGCAGCGACTTGGCAGTTCAGACCTTAGGGGAGCCAGGAGCCTTTCACACTTCTGGCCACTGAGCTGCAGGGTCCTGAGAGGGTCCTGCAAACCTCTGTCATACCTGGGCTCTGAGGGTCTAGCCAGGACACGTTCATTGTTCACACCGCCTGTTGACCCTCAGCGACTCCCCACTTGTGCCTGCCCTGAGCACAGTGCTGGTACCTGCTGGGACTCATCAGACAGCCTGGGGTAGATGAGGGTGCCCAGCACATATCTGTGCTGTGACACCAGGCACCTGCCTGTCCCCGTAACCATAGATGGAAGGACAATCCATGGACAGTGCCTGCTAGTGCTCCCTAGCCCCCTTCTAGCTAGGTCAGCTCCTCCCTTGTCCCAGCTTCCCCTGACAGGAGCATGCGTGGAAGGGTCCTGAGAGGCAGTGACCACCATGGACAGGACGTGACCCTGCTTAAGCCAGCTTGTGTCCTGCTCATCCATCTCAGGCACTTGTGGGGGCTTTGCAGGGCTGGTCTGTTACAGCCCTCTGAAGCCCTCCTGCTCAGACCAGTCAAGGAACAAGAGGCGGGTGGGTGGGCAGGGCACCCCTGACCCAGCTGATTAGAGAACGTGGCCCCTGACCTTCACCTTATGGTATTGCACCCCTCACCCCTGCTGAGACCACAGGAGGAAGGGGGGTCCTGAGAACTGCCCTCCCGGCCACCCTACTCCTGAGCTCACTGAGGAGAGGAGCCCACCCACTTCCTCCGGGATGCTGACCAGGCTGCCAGGAAGGAGGGGCGGGGCAGAGGGTCCAGGCCAGAGGAAGGGAGCCCCCCCCATGCTTTCTCCTGCATGATGACAAAGTAATCACCCTAACCCCGTCTCTTTTTCTCCTGTTTTCAAAGCTTCCTTTGGAGTCCGCAGACTGATAGGAGTAACTGAAATAGAAAAAGGCTCCAGCTATGGAAACCAAGAATTTAAGAAGGAATAATTAACGGCTGTGACTGAACACACATAACCTGACGGTGGTATCCAATTAACTCAATTAAAAACAGAACAACACACACAGAGCAGAGGAGAAAAAGACATTTAGAAACTATTTTTCTTATTAACTGGTGACTAATATTAACAAATAAAACTTGAGCCAAGAGTGAAGAACTTGGAAGACCCACTGGATGGAGATGGTCAGCCTCACGCCGGCCCAGGGCCAGCTGTCTCTGAGGGGTCATTCATGGCTAGGGGAGGTGGCTCCTGAGCCAGGCGGTCTCCAGAGACAGATGAATGGACACCGTGACTCATGAACTCTGCTTCCAAGAGGGAGCCTCTGGCTGCTTTCTCTTCTTAAACTTAGATCAAGTTTTTTGGTTTTTTATCAGTTATTTTAGGAACTTGACCTGGCCCCTCACCTCCTCCCCTGCACCCCCAAAAAACCGTCTCAACGAATTTTCTGCTGTCCTCTTGGAAACGGACTGACTGGGTCGCGGTCCCCCCACCCCCTCGCTCCCCTGAGAACCTGCTCATCTGCTCTGCTTGGCTCAGCCCTTATCAGTTATTTTAGGAACTTGACCTGGCCCCTCACCTCCTCCCCTGCACCCCCAAAAAACTGTCTCAACGAATTTTCTGCTGTCCTCTTGGAAATGGACTGACTGGGTCGCGGTCCCCCCACCCCCTCGCTCCCCTGAGAACCTGCTCATCTGCTCTGCTTGGCTCAGCCTTTGCTTCTAGATGGGGGTGGGGGACTGTGGAGAAAGTTGTCCAGTGATAAGCACATCCTGAATGTAAGTCAGAGGTTCGCAGCAGATGCACCTTGTCACTCTGCCATCCTCTGGGGCTGGCTGAAGCGAATGACCCATTTTATTTTCTAGAGCATCGTTTACCCAGTTTCCTACTCAGCCCTGTGTGTAAATACCTTCACTCTGTTTTTAAAGTAAGCGGCCCCGTGAGAACTCAGTGAAACCTGGGGTTCTTCATGCCCCAAATCTCCTCTTCCCTCTCTTCCTCCTTGCGATCATCAGACTCCAGTCCCTCCATGCTGGAT